GCACTTACCCAGTGTCCCTTGCTACGTAAGGAACTGGAGCTCTCTATTGAAGACCAAGAAGTCGGTGGAGGAAGCAGGACATTGAAAGCCTAGAGCTTGGCAAGGAAGGGTTTCCAACAAAGCTCCAGGCTCTGGCTAACCCAGAGGGCCCCAGAGAGTGAATCTCAGAGCAGAGCAGGCTGCCCAGTAGGGGAGTGAAGCCTTCTCCAGCACAAGGTATGTTCAAGACTTCCAACTGCTGGCCAGTTGGGAGTAGAGCATCAACCTGACGCCAGGGTACTTCTGCAACTGATAATGCTCCAGACTGCTGGGAGGCAGATGGATACATCTAGAAAGAAGTCTGGGTTGAGAGTCAACAGTGTCCTCGATGGTGCCCAACGTGAAAACACACTTTGGTGTGGCCTGACACTCTAGTCTGAGAGCCCAACATGAGGCTGTGGCCTCTGGAGGACAGGAGATGTCTCTCTGGCACTGTCCCAGCATGGGCCCCCAGAACACTGCCTGACCTGTGCCAGACACTCAAGAAATGCTCCAGAAGTGAATAGAGAGGAACAAAGGCAGTACCAATCGGGACCTGCACAGGATCCAGAAACCATGCTGATGCTTTAAGCAGAAAGGAGTCTGATATCATCCAACTGGGGAAGCTGACAATTTCCCACTGAGGGAAGGACCTGGGGTGTCCTTTGTACAAGGCCTGGCCTGCAGGATGGATTCCCAGACCCTGTAGTACTGGCCTGCTGGGGGACATGTCCACTGCTTTCCTCTCTATCTGGGAGGCAGGAAACGACGAGGCAGCCCAACTAAAGGTCTGCTGGGCTCAAGAACACAGCTCTGAGTTGAGTGTGATGGCACGCACCCATGTGCAATCCCATCATTTGGGAGAGGCAAGAGGATCGGAAGTTCAGGGTCATCCTCACCTCATAGTGAGTTTGAGGCCAGCCTGCGCCACTTGAGACCTTGTTTAAAATACATTTTAAAAAGAAACAAAAGTTTACCTGTGACTTGGAAATCAGAAAGGAAACATTTTCAACTATGAAACTGCATCTCAACACCCAAAAATCACAGGATGGTACCCTGAAGTGTCTTGTTGAAGACAGTCAGGAGATAGCTCCTGCCTCACTTCCTCCCTGGGAAATAATACTGATTAACCTATCAGATTCAGAGCTAGAATACTGGGATTGAACTTGGGCCCTCTGCAAGAGCAGTATTTGTCAAGTTGACATAAATCCAACCGGCTCAGCCTGTAACTCCAGGGATCCAACACCTCTGACTTCTAAGGGAACCTGTACTCCTGTGTATATATCCGCACATGAACACAGACATAATTAAAAACCAAAATAAAAGCTGGGCATGGTGGTGTACACCTTTTATCCCAGAGGCAGGTGAATCTCTGTAAGTCTGAGGTCAACCTGGTCTGCAAAGCAAGTTCCAGGACAGACAGGGTTGTTACACAGAGAACCCCTGTCTTGAAAAACCAAAACTAAAGAAGACTGGCTAAAAATCAAAATAAATCTTAAAAAAAAAATTGCCATGGTAGTAAGGAAAATAGGCAGAAATATACTGGTCTTTCCACGGCTTCTTTTTTTCAATTATTTTTATTTTGTGTGCATTGGTGTTTTGCCGTGGGTGTCGGGTCCCCCGGAACCGGAGTTACAGACAGGTGTGAGCTGCCCTGTGGGTGCCGGGAATTGAACCTGGGTCCTCTGGAAGAGCAGTCAGTGCTCCCAACCATTGATCCATCTCTCCAACCCTTTCCACAGCTTCTTATGTCTGCAAGGTATAGCTTTTCATTGCATTCTGTGTCAAACACTGGGGACATGGGACCGAGGCGATGGCTCCATTGGTAAATGTTCACCGTGAACACGAGGACCTGAGTTTGATCCGCAGCACCCATGTTGAAAGCCAGGCATGATGGCTCACTTATTTTTTGTTTTCTGTTCTCTGGCACAGGGTTTCTCTGTATAACAGCCCTGGCTGTTCTAGAACAGGCTCTGTAGACCAGGCTGGCCTCGAACTTTGAGATCCACCTGCCTCTGCCTCCCACTGGGATTAAAGGCTCACTTGTAATCCCCGTAATGGGAATGCAGAGCTGCTCAGTCCTTGGGGCTTGGTGACCAGCCAGCCTAACCTTATCAGTGAGCCCTAGGTCCCAATGAGCTACATTGTCTCAAAATTCAAAGGGGGAGGCTCCTGATGAATGAAACCTGGGACTGACTTCTGACCTCTGTGGTCATGTGCACCTGCGCGCGCGCGTGCGCACACACACACACACACACACACACACACACACACACACACAAAGTATTTTTAAGAGTCAGTACGAGAGCCAGGCATGTGAGTATATGCTTATAATTCCAGAATTTGGGAGTAGAGGCAGGATCATGAATTCAAGGTAGTCTGGACCATATAGTGAGTTCCAGAGAGCTTAATACAGGTACCAAGACTGCTAAAAAAGCTGGGCATTGTGGCTCATGCCTATACTCTGCATTTGAAAGGAGAAGGTGGAAGGATCACTCACAAATTTGAGGCCAGCCTGAGGTACGTATGTAGTGAGTTCAAGGACAACCTGAGGTACCTAGTCAGTACCGTGTCAGCCTGGACTATGGAGTATGACCCTGCCTTCAAAATACAAACCAAATAGTATTCCAGAGGCTGAAGCAGGAGGATAGTGAATTTAAGGCCAGCTTGGTCTACATAATACAGGAGAGCCTGGGTTACAAAGAAAAAAACATATACTTGAACAAGTTAGACTATGGAGCTTGTTGACACAGCACTTGCCTAGCATGCTCAAGTCTCAGCTTCAGTCCCTGCAAAACACACACACACACACACACACACACACACACACACACACACACACACCTATCTTCCAGCCAGGTGTACTAGTACACACCTGTAAACCCACCCCTCAGGAGGAAGATCCACGATGATGGTGAACTCAGCTCAAGGCCCCGGCCCTTGGGCCACCTAGTGAGACACTAACTCAATGAAAGAAAAGAAATAAACAGTTACTCTGGATTCTCACACGGGGTCAGACTTCGAACGTCTGGGGTTGGGGTTTGCCAGGGTGGAGTAACTCTAGTGTTCACTGCATCCTAACAGCTGGAGTAGGGGTCAGTTACGTTCATGTCTGGCACAACATACTCACCCAGTCATTAACCCCAAGTAGATTTTGTGCCGTGAACAAATTGGAATGCCGCAAATCCTGCACCCTGTTAATCAACAAGCCTATCACTTGAGCTGGCATCTAAGCACGCTGTAAATTGTCACAGTTGCCACACGGTGGCGCGCCTGCTCTTGCCGCCATGGAAACTCTTGAAGGATGGTGGTTTTGACAAGTATCTGGCCTTTTTTTTTTTTTTTTTTTTTTTTTTTTAACCCGTTTTCATTCTGGAGCCCTGGTTTGCTTGGAACTCACTGTATCGCCTCAAACTCTCCTGAGGGAGGTGGTTGCAGGCTTGAGCCAATCCGCCAGCTTCAGAAGACTGGCATCTAGAACGTGTGCCCTTGACTGCACTGCAGTGTGACTTGGGCGCTGCCTGCCGGGAAAGGCACACAAGAAGGCTGGCTGGGCTTGGCAGGAGTGCCTTTGAGTCAGAGAACTGGCAGTAACTGGACAGGATCCTGCTAAAGTGGGCCAAAACAGGGACCAGAGTCTGCTGCAAGAGAGAGGCAGGGATAGCTCAGTTACCCTCTCTCTCTCTCTCTCTCTCTCTCTCTCTCTCTCTCTTCCTTCCTTCCTTCCTTCCTTCTTTCTTGAACCGCAGGGTGTTTCCTCTGATGGCTCCCCTCACCCATCTTCTTCCTTCTTCTCCAATTTGTTCTCTCCTCACTGACTCTCTCAGGCCACTGAGTTCCCCTGCAAGCCCTCAGCCTTACTCCAGCAGACCCGGGCTGGGCTAGAGATCAGTCTGCACACAGTTGGTTTTCAGGGAAAGCAGTGGACCCAGGAGCTGTAAACAGGGCCACAGAAGGTCTAGTGGACAGGAAGGTCCTAATGGACACCTCTGGGTCACAGATGGGCTTTGACTTAGAATCTTCTTTTTTTAGCAAAGCATAAGTTTTCTTTTTCCTATTTACTTTTCAGAAGTTTGAAGCCATGTGAAGTTCAGCATCACAAGGATTACGTAGTCAATGGCGTTTGCAGGAAGGTTGCTTTGGAATTCGGCACAAATCATGCCACTCTTTCTACCGGCCTGAGTTACCTTTGCCCCGGATTACCCTGGTTTTGTTCTGTCTGTCTGCTTCCAAGAATCACTGTGTTGTTTTTGCTTTGTACACACACGCACATCTCTTGCGTAAGTAGAATTCATTTTCATCTCAGGCATAAACATCTTCAGTTTCAAGCAGGGCCACATGTTCTCTTCGGTTCCAGAGACCTCGATTATGGCCTTTGGAAAGCTAATTACCTTTTCTGAGCTATGCCTCTAGCAGTGTGGGCTCAGAACTCAGCACATATTTGTTGAGTGAGTGAATGAATGTCAAGAACCCGCCCACACTGTGGCCGCTGGGAACATCATGTCTGCGTCTTCAGAGATGTTCCAGACTGCAGCTGTGAGACCCGGGCAAAGTAAGCCTCCAAATCCAAGCATCCTCTACACTTCCAGGCATCAGATGCCCCGACCCCACCCAAAGAGAAATCGCTTTCGCTTTTTCATTTTCTGAGATCTGTAGAGAAGGACCCTGGCTGAGAGGAGACCCCAGAAATGGAGAGGCAAAGCTGGGAAGGGTCTGAAGTCCCCAGGCTCCCATTCAACCCTCCTGGTGTCCCCAGCAATGCAAATGCTGCCCTTGACCCACGGTAGAGTTTGAAAGGTAAAGAGGACCCAGGAGGGGGAAGAGATGTCCGTACAGCAGAGGCCTTGGTGTAGCTAACCGTCCAGATGCGGGCGTGGCACCGCCCACTTCTCTCACATAGGGAAGTCTTTCCCGCCGCCAAGCTAGGCTCTGCGCGCGCTTGCATGCGAACAGAAAAGTCCAGCAGAGGGCGCTGTTGGACAATGCGCGGAGCCGCGTCAGCACGCCAGAGCCGCTGGGTCAGCACCGCGGAACGCAAGAAAGGAACTGTGGGTGGGAGGGTGGGAGCCCCTTAAGAACATCTGTGTCTGCAAAAGCTTTCATTTAGTATGGCCAGAGACTGCTGGTCTCGCCAACTTCAGTGCTGGAGCCCAGAGGAGTGGGAGGGATCATTTGAACTGCAAAGTGGTAGCCACGAGGGTCTGGCCTGGTCAGGATTCGAGAGGTCCTGTGACCTCTCTCTTCCTGCTTCCCAGGCCTATCAGGAGCGGTGTACCGTCCGGCGCTCTCTTTCTGCGTCCTGAGCTCCACCTGTACCCTTTCTTGGTTCACAGTCCCCCATCTTTGCCCTCTCATTGGCCCCTCCGTGGATACACTCTATAAGTCTGTGTTCCTGGGAAGCTGGGCTAATCCTAGGAATGGCCAGAACAGGCAGACCAGAGAGGCCTGATCGACTTCTAGAAGCCCTGTGCATCCGGGTTGGCCCAGGACTTGATGACCTGATAACCCCAGAGCAAGAGGGGCATGCTTCAAGTGACCTTGCTCTGGGAAAAGCAGTGGCCAGCCTTTCCTGGGCCTTCCTGGGCCGCTGACATTCCGAACTTGCTGTTGTTTCACGGGTTCAAGGCCAACACACTGTCACTTAGAGACAGTGTCAGGATCCTGGCCTGTCTAGGGTGTTTCTGGGACACGGGGCCTCGGAGTTCTTCCCAGGATACCCACCTCCGAGTTGATCTCCCTGCAAGATTCACACCTCTCTGTAGCCCTTGTCCCTGTGGGAGGAGAATGGTCTCCCTCAGCCATAGTCAAGGATCTGGAAAGGCAATAGCTAAGGACTACGCCTAGCCACTTCTCAGTGAACCTAGGAAGTGGTCATGCTAGGGAGGCATGCGTGGGCACAGGGCACAGCGATGCTCCCAGGGGGTGATTCCTACTGAAGATGGGCCCTTCCCCCACCCCTCTGGTTTAGGAGCCGCTTTGAAGCACTGGAGGGTGTCTCACTGTGGGGACCTGAGGAAAGCCAAGAAGGGACTACCAGCCGTGAGAACGCGCACACGGAAGACTGGAGACGTGGAGACAGATGGTCTGTGCAGGTTGACCCTCCCCGTCCAGTTCCCTCAAAAAACCAACCCCTAGCCGAGCACCCAGCGGCCAGCCAAAGGGCGTGCAGGTGGAGGTGAGCGGCCCAGATCCGCTGGAGGCAGAGTTGTCACCACTGTTCTTGGGTGAGACCCGCGGAACCTCACAGCGACCCTGCCCTTTTCTCCGGTGACTTGCCTTCCTCCAGAAACGGCAGCCGAGGGCGGGAGCGTAGGAGCCGAGCATTGACGCGGGGGCCAGCGCCGCCGCCGCCGCCGCTGTCGCCGCCGCCGAGGCCTAATGGATTCAAGGCCTGCGCAGGCTGAGGCGCACCCGCCGGCCTGCCCGCGCTCTCAATAGCGGACAATGGAGTCCCGGGGTGACCCGAACAAAGAATTTGGAAGTAGTTAAACTGCAGAACACGTTCTGGGCCTGGGTGCCTCCTTTCAAAAGGAGCGCTGGGAGAAGAAAGGAAAGCGCTGGGGGGTGAAGGGGGTGAGAAAATGCCCAGGGGAAAAGTTGGTAGGTCGCCCTAGTTGACGCCAGCTACCAGACGCTAGGAATTCAATAGGAAGTGGGGGAAGGGGGAGACTGGCCCAGGCTGCCAGACTGCACGGAGAGCCTGAGAAAGTTAGGGGAGTGCTGGGGTTCCAAAACAAGGGGCAGCCTTTATACCCCAGGCGAGGACCAACCCCCCCCCCCCCCCACACTCTAGATCAAGCCTTCAGGTTAGTCTGATCAGAGGGGCCAGAGGAAGAGCATCTTCATCTCTAGAGAGTACAGCAGAAGCCCGTGGATGCAGTGTGAGGGGAAATGTTTGGGCCCTTCAAGGTTTCCCAAGAACAACCCCCCCCCCACCCCTCTCTCTAGGTCCTGGTGTCTAGATCCTGATCTCCTGGGGTCTCTGAGGCTGCTCTAGCAGGTCTCTGAACATGTCTCCCTCTTCGGTCCTCTTCTGGAAGCTTCTTTCTGGTGTCCTGTCCCCATCCAGTTCCGAAAGTCTGATTCCACATTCATCCTGTCTCCTCCTCATCTGCTTTCCTCCCCCCCCATTCCTTTCTCCTCTTTCCCCTGCTCTTCACAATGGACAATCTAGATTCTTCTCATAAGAAAAATCTCATTACTTTCCCTCAGGCCTTCAAGTAAGTGTAGATTGAGGCCTTTTGATATTTTATCTCGTATTTTTCTGAACTAAATTTTCCACAATGAACACCACCACAACCTGGGAAGGAAAGACGTCTAGAAAACCAGCTAGCTATATGTATCGTCAATTAATTTATAAGAGGAAGAATCTAGAAAGATCGTGGAGACCAAAAAAAAAAAAAAGTAAGAAAATAACAGAGGGGGAAAAAAATTCGGAGACCAGGAAGAAGAAAGGAGCTGTGGCCCGCACAGCTTCCGGGAAGTGGTGTCCCAGGAATCCCAGACAGCACTCCCTATTCAAACGGCTCCCTCCTTTGGGAGGCGATCAGTTTGCAAGGGGTTAACTGCGTTGCTCATGAACTTGGCCTGTCTGTCTGGCTCGTGATGAATGATGAGACCCGCTGACAAGTTCGGCTGGAGGGACCTCCCCTGCTGGGGTGGCGAGAGAAGCACACACTGGCAGAAGGGACCCTGAGCGAGCCACCGGGGCGCAAGAGGAAGAGGTGGTTCCGCAGGTCAGGCACTCGGGTCTGCCTGCCCTCTCTGTTCCCGCCTCCTCTTGACCTCTCGCCCCCTCCCTTGTAGCTTCCCAACATCATCTCAGAGCGCTAGAATTTCCAGGGGCTCTGTCTCTGAGTCCCAGAAACCCTGTGCCCGCCCTGCGGACAATGCCTAGCTAGCGCGGTGCAGCCGGGCTCGGGAGCCCGCCCCGGGGAGGCCGGATTCAGCATTTGGACAGCGGCTCGGGGGCGGTCTGCGGCCCAACGAGTTTGCAGGTGCACCGCCTACGGGTGAGGCGGGGTGGGGGAGGCACTGGGTCTCGGAGGAGCACGATCCAGCTTAGCACACAACCCAGGCTGTCAACGAGACACGTTCCTGAGAGCTAAAAGGTCCCTTCCGAGCCCACACAGGGACCCCAGGACCGGCCAATCCCTCCTGGGTCCCCTCAGCCATGACTTGTGTGTGCGAAAAGATCAAAAGCCCCCACTTTGAGCCCAGAACGCAGATGCCCCTCAAGCCCTGGGCTCTCCATTCTTCCCCGTGCATCCTGGATCCGGCAGCTTGGAGCTGCCAGCGAGATTTCCTGGCCTGGGTTTGTCACCACTTCCCAGGTGGTTGGTGGCTCTGGGTGAGCCCGGCGGTGCGGGGAGGGTTGCTCGGACGCAAGCTGGGGCGCGGGCTGGCAGGGCCGGGTCTCAGGGCAGGGCGCCCCTCGCCTCCTGCCTCCGCCTCTCCGTTCCGCACTGGTCCGGGTGAAGCCAGGGGGGGCGGGGGGAGCCGCGCTGACGTCACTGCGGGCCGTGCCCGCCCGAGAAGGCGGCGCTGAGCCGCTCAGAGCCCGGAGAAGCGGCGCGCCGCCAGGAGCCCCCGCGCCACCGCCGCCGCGCCTGCCTCTAGCAGCTCTCGGCCACGCCACCGTGCGGGCAGCGGCTCCTGGAAGGCGGCCGGAGCTGGGCCGGAGCCTGGGGACTCGCCTGATCCTGGGCGACCGAACCACCGTCACCGCAACCGCCCCACCCCCGCCGTCGCCTCGTGGGGTCCCGGCCCCCTCCCGGGTCCGTAAGTTCCACTGCCTTTTGCGTCTCGGCCAGGCCAAGAAAGAGGGGCTAGGGAGCCAGGGCGGTAGTCTCCACTAGAACAGCGGCCAGGGCGACGGCTGGACTGGGTAAGGGGCCTGGGGTATCCCTGTGGGTCCCTCTTGGGTATCTCACCGGGCTCGGGGCTTTCCTTGACTACTGGAGGGATGGGGGTTGCGCTCTGATTGTGGGTCAGAGCTCAGACATCTCCCGCAAATCGTCAAGACCAAGGTCAAGGGTCTTGGGACAGTGAGACACGCCCACGGTGTTCAGAAAGGGACAGGGTGAAGGGTCCGAGGGAAGTTGTGGGAAGGTAGAAAGGTTTGAGAGGAAGAGAATGTTTCTGAAAGAGGTTGCAGGGGGTCCCCCTCCCTAACTCCTACGCGTGACTCCCCTCTTCCTTCCTATCCCTCAGCCCCCACCAACACACACAAATAACCTACAAAGTGGCTTCCCAGAAAAAAAATTTTTTTTGAGAAAATGCAACACACAGCACCCACTCTAAACAAGATTTATGACGTCCTTTTCCCCTTCTGAAATGGGAAGTTGGGGAAGCCCTTCTGTTCAGCACCCCACTCTATGCTTTCGGACAGGCCTTTGGATCTGTCTGTGGGTGTCTCTGAAGCCTCCTCCAGCCTGGTCTCCTTTGAGCTGTGAAGAATGAGGGAAGCATGGAGGCTGAGACTGTCGAGGGGCTTTTATGGGAGAAGCTTGGGTGATGGGGTGGTATAGTTGGCCCCAGCACAGCAAGGAGGTACCGACTCCAGCAAGGGAGGTCCAGGCCAGCTCTCTGGAGCAGTAAAAACATCCAAAAGAACACAAGCTCCGAGCCATTGTGGCGGGGGGGAGGGGGTGGTGAGGGTAGGGTGCTGAGCTTGAAGGGGAGACCCTCTTTGAATCTTCATATTCGGGAGCTGATGGATTCTTTAGCCTTGGCTGCGGCGGGGTGAGGGAAATGGAGTTTGAGGGTCTGGCTTTCAGTTAAGGGAGGCGAGGCGAGAGGCAGGCTAAGTGGACACCGAGCTGGGGTGCATCTCAGGAATCTCCAGCAGCAATACTGGCTGCTAGAGGTCCCAAGGAAAAAGGTTTGGCTTTTTGAGAGGGGTGTTTTGAGGTCCCTATTTAGAAGAGTCCACACCCTACCTGCCTACACCTCAGCTGCTGAGGAAATAGGCTGGGTTGGGAGCCAGAGAGGGAGCTACAGCCCAACTGGCCGTGTGTATTTGAGGATAGGTGTGGAGGCCTCTGTACCCTCTGGGTACAAGGACCTGGCTCCATCTGAGGGAGCCCAAAGCTGGATCTCCCAGTGAACAGCCCTTCCAGCCTCCAGACAATAGGAAAGATCGGCCTCATCAGAGCTTGGGCCTGAGGAAGGAATGAGAGAAAGAGAGGCAGTCATAGGGAAAGGCACCTGGAATTGGCCCGGGTTGTGGCTGGAGATTCTGTGTCCTAATTACAGCCCAGAGGGGATCAAAAGGAGTGCTCATTCCACACTGAATAGCAGGCCAAGTGGCTGCATCTGCTCTATCAGCCTCAGGCTCCCGGCCTCAGAATCTGGGCAAGTCTGGTCACAGGACAAGGGTGTGAGTGAGGCTGTGAATTGTCCCCATCCTTCTCCGGACCCCTTAACTCATTGTGGCCTGAGTGAAAGGTGCCTGCCTGTGTCCTTTTTTGAGCTGAATAACTACCATAACTACCCATAGGAAACAGAAACACGGGCCAGAGGCAAGTGGAGTTCCTGTAGCGGGTGTTTGCCAGCAGGTGCGGGAGCCCCTGCATACAGAGGGCTCCCACAAGTAACACACCAGCCTTGGGGGCAACCCGAGGAGAAAGTGTGGTGTAGGTTTCCTGAGTGATGGGCTCTAGAGCAGATGTGTAGTTTCGGCAGGTTCAGATATGGGAATCAGTTAAGGACTTTTGTCCCTCTGTGGAGCTCTGAATATGAAAGATGGAGTCTCCTACCTTTGGTGAGATGTCTGGGGGCTGGGCTTCCCCCGATGTTTGCTTCTCTAAGTGGCTGTAGGCACCCCTAGGGCTCCGGTTTCAAACCACAGCTGAATGAGGAAATTCTGGGCAAGTGGAATTGCGAGGGGGGGAAAATGCCAGGTGGGCAGCCCTCAGCACCATGGCCAGGGCCCATCAGCAGCCAACAGTTTTCTGGCTGAGCCCCCGTATATCCAATGCCTGCTCTTCTGGGGACGTAGGGACTGTGCTGGGACAGTAGGCTAGAGGCCAGGGATTGATGTGGGAGGCATCGAACTCAGATGCCTCAATCCAGAGTGCAGATGAGGAGACAATCAGGGCTAAGGTCAGGGGGGTCTTCCTTGACTAGTCTGTGCTCCAAACAATGTGTCCTTGCTGGGTGCTGACCTGGAGGCTTCCCATGCTGTACATGGGTGTGGCTACTGGTGGACAGCCCAAGGAGACTGACTACCCATTGCCCTGCCCCATCAGAACAGCCCCCAAATGGCAGGCAGCTGATGGCTCAAGGCCCACTCTTTCTGTGGTCTCCTTCCTGAGAATGCACCTAGAATGAGCCTATAATGATCTTCATGCACCTGGGCACTGGAGGGTGGGAATGAAGGAGTCTCCATTCCAGGACAGGTCTTATTCCAGCGTGGTGTGGGATCTTCTGCCTGGCTGGCCTCACCTGTTCTGGCAAGGGGCTTGATTTCCTAAAAACAAAACAAAACAGCAGAAATGTGGCTTTGGTGGCATTGACCCGCTGCACCTGAACTGAATGCAAAATCAAGCTTTTTAATCTTTCTCTCAGAGCGCTCACCAGCCCTAGGCTTGCAGGCCAGGGCTCCAGTGCTGTTACCGTGAGCCTGGCTGAGGAGCCATTTTGTACAGTACCCTGCTTTGAATCGCACTCTGAGAAGGCTCCTTCTTCTCTCTCCCTCTCTCTCCTCTTTCTCCTGCTCCCGACTCCCCCTCTCTCTTCCCCCAATCCCACTCTCAGGTGAATCGTGCTTGCACACCTCCCTCTGCCTCTGCGGTTCCACCCAGCCCAGCTCAGGGTGGCCCAGAAGGACTAGAGCTCAGGAGGCCGCCCACACTGACAGACACACAGCTAGATGGGAAAGGGTGTCGATTCCAGAAGCTGTAGGAGGAGAAGAAAGGGGCACCTCCTAATTATGAAAATCCTTTAGAATTAACCGCACAGGCCCAAATTCGAGGTTCCTTCGAGAACCTTGAGGTTGGTAGGTCGGTAGGTCGGCCGCGCGCGCTCTCTCTCTCTCTCTGTTTCTCTGATGCTCATCTTGGTCTGGCTTGTGGCCCTTTTCTGGAGAGAAGGATGTGTCTGTGGGGTGGAATTTGGAGAGAGGTGCTGCTAGCTGGCTTGGTCACAGGCTGACAGGGGTGATAGTGGGAATACAGCCCACCTTGGGTTTCGGGTCAAGATGAAAATGGGACAAGTCCGAAACAAGCAGCGGTGTAAAGAGGTGCATGACAAAATCTGGTACTTGGCAAAAATCCAGACGTGTCATTTTAAGGGAGAATGCTTTAGATGTGTTTAGAAAAATCCCGAAACCCCTTCCACTTTGGGCCTATTCTTTGAACCCACCCTGCAGGGATTGGCTGATGGAGAGTGTCCAGGGATTTCCAGCCCCACTAAAGCAGGTCTGAATGAGTACCCCACCTAAGTCTGTAGTGGTCCCTGGGAATACCTTAGGACGGGAGTCTCTGGGACTCCTGCACGGCCACTGATGGAATCCTGGAATCTGTGAGCCTACTCTATTGTTGATTCTCTCCCTAGCTCTTAGATTTCAGATCTTTCGAGGAACATCTGGGGACAAATATATCGAATTTTTCATATTCAATCCTTGGCCTCCCAGGGAGGAGTGACCTAGGTGAATCAGAGGGCCCAGAGTGGGAGGGTAAGCACGGGGCGGGCGCAAGGAGGAAGGGAGTGATTTCAAGTGAGCAACCTATGAGCCACTCACATTTGGGAGGCTGAAATGGGGCCATTAAGTTCAGTGGCCAGGCTCAATTCCACGGTGGCTCTGGGAAACTCAAGATGTCAATCCCTTTGCCCTGTGAAGCCACTTGGAGTGAGCAGGCCAGTTGTGTGCTGTGAGCAGAAAGATGGCAGGAGATGCCTTTTTTTCCCCCCTGTGAGAGATGAATAGGAGCCCAAGTCCGGCCTTGGATATCTTCAAGGCACCAGGGCACAATCGATTGCCTATCATTGGCTGTGCCTAGGAATAACCAGAGGGAAGGGACCCAGCAGCCTGATATCGACATCTAGAACCTGGTTTGAGTGTAGCATGCCGCGGGAATCCCTCCAAGTCAGGCGCTATGTATGGGATACACTTACTGATCTAGACATAGGAGGACACTCAGTCCCTCCCTTAATTCCCAGTCTTTACCGCGTAGTCTGCACAGTGCTGGGCAAGGGGAAAGAAAGAGAGAGATTAAAGATGAAGTGACCGGTTCGCGGTCTCTCAAGCGCTCACTTGGTTGCCCTGGCGAGACCACGACCTTAAACCCCTTCCCTCAAACTCTAACTCTGGTGGTCTGTGGTGGCTGCCGGGCACCCAAGACTTTGAGGGGAGGTCAGAGAGGCTAGGGAGAAAGGCCAGAGTGTGTGCATCCAGGGAAGCAGGCCTAACGCTTCTGAGGGCAGAAGGGGCGCTCCCCTGTCCTCGCGGCGCAGAAGCGGTGAACGCCGAGGCCATTGTAAGGCTGGGTGGTGCCGAGCGCGGGAAGGGGGCTGGGATTTGAATGGGAGCCCGTGATAGGCCAATTCCCGGACTGACGTCACTTCCCCGCGGGGCGATTAGCCTGGGAGAGGAGGGCTGACGGTCCAGTGCGCTGGGGGCCGCCGGGGCGCCCGAGGCTGCCCAAGCGCGGCGCACCGGTGCCCCGAGTGCGCCCCGGGTTGCCGTCGAAGCGGGCCGCGGACGCACTGAACGGGGAACTGGGGGTGGAGATGCCGCGAGGGCGAGGGAGGAAGGGAGCTGGGCGACCCGGGT